TCGATGAGAAACTGTATATTTTCTTTTTATTTCTTGATTTATCCATTCAGTTTCTCTTTCCTGATTTGTATGCTCTTCTCGACCATGTTGATATTTTTCATGAATTATATGATATAAAACTGAATCAACAACCAGAAAAGTCTTCTTATTCAATACCTTACAAATTGTTGGTATAATTATATGAGTTACAATTTTCTTCTAACTCTGAAAGGTTTTACTAATATTTAGTTGCAAATGTGGAGGCAACCTTTCAGTAATATTTAATACTTCGTGCTATTTCATAATTAATTAGTAAAATAATTAAATCATAAAAATAAAAATAAAAAAAAAATTTAATTACTCGTAATGTATTTTGCAATTCTCTATCCATATCTTGGTAATGTAAATATTGACGATATGGAGAGGAGGAAGGTGAATAGCTTATATTATCATTATGATCAGAATTGCTTTGGTCAGAACTGTCAGATCTGCTGCGTTAAGATCTAGAGCTTAATGTTCATATATGTTTGCTTGTTTTATTTTTGTTAGCAAAATTTAGCTGTTTCCTTTCTTTATTACAACCTCTTTTATTATCTATCACCATATCTTTGAACAATGACCTAACTTGAATGTGATTAGATTTTGCTACTTTTTTAGTAATATTTCTTGAAGAATCGTATCTTATGGCCTTTGATGAATTTGCAATATTATCAGAATCATCTGATTGTTCAATTTCTCCTTGTTTGCTTCTACCTAACGATACTATTAAGCCTTTTAGCTCATTTATTTGATTCTGTAAATCTACAATTATCAAATATTGATCAATCACAATCTATAAATTATAATGTACATTAATCATTTATTACTATTAAGTATTTTTGATTTCTTATTTTGTATGGGGTCGATACAGTAAATACAAAATTAGGTTTTTTAATGCTATATATATATATATGGTTGGCATTGAATAAGTTTTTTTTTTAATTTTAAAAAAAATAGCTTTGTGTCTTTTTATGAGATTATATTGATTATGCATTTAATATGCACACAAGGTATCATAAAACTAGAAAACATGTGTTTGATTCATTCAATTTTGCATATAATAAAATGATTGCACCACTTAATACGCCAAGATAGATGCTAGCAGGATATTCTGGCTCTATGAAACAAATTATTGATAGATATGTAGCTAAAAAAAATATTGTCTTTTTGTCTGAAGAAGACGATTTAACAAATGGTAATAATGCTCAAAAGTGATAATTTTTTAGCTTAGCAATAGAAAAATAATCATTTCAGAATTGGTATTAGGCTAGCTTTGTATGCTTTTGTAAAAAGTTTAAAGATTCATGATGCATGTATATAATTAGAAGCCTGTCTACAAAGTGATAAGACAAGTATTATTGCTAGATTGTAATTTTGGTCATGTAAATTTTATCTTTTTATAGTGATAGTATTTTGCAATTAAGTTTTATATTATCTATGCTAAATGCAGGTGTTAGAGTAGTTTCATAATTGTATACATATGATTATTGGAGTAAATTGCATATGGTTATTGGAGTAAATACTGGTATCTTAGTTGATAATCATATGCTAGAGATAAAGGGCAGGTGTACCTTTATATACAAATTGTAATACCGTATAAGTATAAAATAACTTGTGAGCATTATTTTGAAAACTAAGTTCTTTAAAAATAGTATATATGGGCCTCTTCATTTTAGTTTAAATATTTAAAGTAGATTCACTTCATATTTTGAAATAGTGCACATGGGTATACTCGAAATAATTAATTAACGTGTAAGCATTATTTCATGCCTATATGGTACAAGGTGTTGTTTATATAGTATAGTATAGAAAATATTTAAACAGTCTTATAATTATGTAAAGAAACTTATTCTTCATATTGCTATCACTCATCTTATTAGGCAGCCTCTATAATCCTTTCCACTCACCCATTCTCCCAAGAAGTTTTTTTTTTGGTGCTAGATAAAATAACAAATAAACGAATCTATATTATTTTCAAGTGATAGCAATAAATACCACAGCTGCAGAGACAACATAAGAACCAATTTTTAATAATTAGTGCCTTTGTAATACAATAACGTGAGCTTCTTTATATTAACAAATCAAATAAAAGGATCATTAACTCTGTTACTTCTAATCTCTGCAAACTTTGTGCTAGATTTGCCAAATTTACTGAATTGCAGAATCCCAGTTCAGTCTGCTTATTATTGATATATAGAATTTGTAGAATTTGAGGCATAGTTTATTGTGGTATTCAGTGTACTATGTAAATCAAAACTATGTGATCTATAATAAAATTTATTAATGAAGATTTTCTGATAGTTTATAATAATTTTAGAACTAAATAGATGTATATCCCTAACAGATCGATAGTTTTGGATAAAATTTTATAAAAACCAGTATTACATCTCTACAAACAAAGTTACAGAGTCTTTTCTTTTATTTAATATGAAAAATTTTAATATATTATTTTTTTTAAAAAATAAATTAAGTAAAAGAGACTTAATTTAGTTTCTTTTTTAAAGAATAGCTCTATAGTTTTGTTTGTAAAGATGTAATACAGGTTTTTGTAAAATTTATCCAAAACTGTCAAGCCGTTAAAGTTTTAAAATATTTTAATAATTATTATAAAATTTATTGCCTATCAAAAAATTCGAAAAACCTTCATTAATAAATTTTATTATATAGGATCTTTGCTAAGAAAATTACTTTTGAATCTATGTTGATTTTGTGAATAGAAATTAAATTTGCTAGCCATCTAGCTATCCAATTCAAATGACTTTTTTTTTTTATTTTTGTAGAGCTTATTTAGTTTTACAAAATAACAAAAATATTCAAATTAAATAACTAGAAGTCAAGCAAATTTAACTTTTATTTACAAAATTAATATAACCTAGGAGAGCCATTTTCTTAGCTAACAGGTCTACGCTAGATTTAGTATTGCAATATGTATAGTAGAGATGTTAGTAAAGAGGAAAATGGCTGCCTATTGATCAAATTTGGCAGAGCCTATATGATGTGTAGGTAGATGGATAGGAGGTATACCTATTGTGGTGTTGTGTAGCTTGCCATTTTGGTATACAGCCTTGCATCATTTTGTTCATATATGTTTATTTATATTGAAGAAGATATTGTATAGGATGTTGATAAATGCTAGTACTAGCAAGGCAGCAGTAATATATATATCATCAGGGATTAGACCTTGGAGTATTTAAAAGTTGGATGAGTTGGATTGGGGTTGGATAAATATGATGGTATATTTTGTGAATGTGTCAAGGATGAGCTAAAACAGGTGTATTTAATTTGTTGAGCAAGTTAGCCAGTGGGTATTGTCTTTTGTGCTAAGCTTGCATCTATTGCAAGTGGGATTGGTGTATATTTTGGGATATCTGTGATGTGGTTAAATAAGGTTAGTAGTTTATCGAGTAGGAATTTTATTTTGAAGTTTTTTATTCAAGATAGTTTGGGTGAGTAGTTTTGATATTAGATTTGTTGTTCAGGTTGTGTAGCAGAGGTTATTTCAAAGGTTGGTCTTGTTAAGAAAGTGCCATTAGGCTGTAGTAATTGCATTTTAGATGTGTTAGATAAAATAGTAAATT